CCCCAAAACCCCAAAACCCCAAAACCCCAAAACCCCTATTGTATTAAAACTTTTTGAAGAGTTATTCTATAATAAAATAAAGATGTTTCCTCCATTAAAATCGAAGCAAGTCTTAAACGCAGATCTGGATCTCTCATCTCCAAAAACACAAAGTATGGATTTTCTTCAATAATTTTCTATATTTTAATCAGTTCTTTGAATTCAATTTAGCAATATAGGAACAAGAAAGAGCTCACAGGATAATAAAAAGACAATTAAGAGCAGACCATTACCTAAATAGTAATCGGTCTATTTATAAGTCAATGAGAGCTAGCTATTCAGAGATTGAAAGTAGACTAGACCAGGCCGGCCTACAATGTGTTTCAAAGAATAATATTTTAACTGCTAGACAAAGCGTTGATGATATTTTAAAGGGAGCTAAAGATAGCCGGAGACAACTCACAAACCTTAAAACAATTGTAAGGCCAAAGAAGATGTATTCTGCTAACTTTTTGGATTTGTCTTATAAAGCATATAGAAACAAATAAATCCTTTGAATGAAGAAATCCAGAACGAGCTTTCACTTCATAGAAAAGCAAAATCGACAATATCCCCTTATGACCGTATTAAGTTTAGTTTAAAGAGGAAATAACTACATGCTTGTCAAAAAAGTACCTAAAAAGCTCATGAAATCGAGGAAATAAGTTTACTGTAAAGCCAGCCAAGACTACTGAAGGTGAGCATAATGCTCTTGTGGAGGTCGGGTTCTCGAACATTCCTGAACTTAAAATCCAAAACCCTTATTTAAAAAGGCAAGAAAGGATTGCATTTGAACAGACTTCAGGTGAGTTTGCAGGGAAAGATCTCAACTTCTTCAAGGATATTCGACTCAAGGAGAATGATATGAGTTTGAAAGAGCAAGATTCTGTCGAACCTCAATTTACTTCAACTTTTAATGCTTCTATTCCATTCAAGGACACCTTTATGGACTTGTCAGAAACTAGTCCTGCCAACCAGGGAATCTCCACAATATATAATGAGACTTCTAGGCAGTCAAAGTTGTTGGAGTCTAATGAAGATGACAAAAATAATTCTAGCAACGCTAATAATAAACCATTTCTATTTAATCCAGAAAAGGCAAAAATTGCATTGAACGACACTAAGGATAGTCCAAATCCTAAAAAGGTGAAATTAAAATTAAGCAAAAAGATTCCAAGGAAGCCTAAAGAAACGAAAAATAAAATTACCATAACTGCTCGGGATAGAGGTAACCTCAACTCTTTGTAAGAGATAATCCATTTCGTTTATAGGTATTGTATTTGCCAAAGGAATTAAGAAGCCTAAATCCATGAGGGACATGATCCCGAAAAAGTATGCTAACAGATCACCATTCTAAAATCCACCATCCTTTTATCAATGACTAATTACTTAATATAGATATTCAAACGGAAAAGTAAAAATGATGGACGCAGATCTTAATACAATAAAGGATGAAGGAGAGCTTGAAGAAGCTAGCTCTATAAAATCCATTCCAAGATGTGTCATAGATCCTAATAAAATGAGATTAGTAGAGCAGACAATCAGAATGCTCAATGAAGTTTAGTTCCATACTCAATTTTTATGTTTTGATTGGGGTTTTGGGGTTTTGGGGTTTTGGGGTTTTGGGGT